AAAGGATTCCAGACACTCAGGGTGGGGAGGGACAAAGTCAGGGCACACCTGCATGGCTGACGCAGAATAAATGATTTCCCCCATGGACTGAGATGGCAGAGCTAACTGAACAGTATAAATTAAGTGTTCTTGAAAGCGCACGCAAAGGGCACGGGAAAAGGCCGGCGGGAAACAGCCAGCGTCTCCAGTCAGAGCAACTCTCCCCAGAGGCGGGGGCCGAACTTCTCTTCTGCTGTGGAGGATTTTACCCAGTCTGTACACTGAATGTGTGTTTGGTCCTTTTTGTGATAAATAATGGAGTTTTATTATTATTTTCATTTACTTACAGTAAAGCTAACTCTTTGTGCTGTGCAGTTCTGAGCTGTGACGAATGCACAACTGCACTGTCCCCTCCCAAGTCCCCAGAGCCAACCGGTCCTCTGTGCTCAACACCGACAACCAGCCACTCATTGTCCTCTGTCCCCACTGCTCTGCCTCTCCCAGAGTCACATAAATGGAGACACACAGTGTGTAGCTTTTGGGGACCTGGCTTCTTTCTTCTTTCACTTAGCAAAACCACTTTCTTTTCTGTTAATCATAAAAATAAGTCAGAAAGTTATGTTTTTAAAAAAAAATTAAGAGAAATTCCACTTTAAGAAACCTCAATTAAACCAAACTCCAATTTCTTTCTTTAAAATATGAAGGTAACAGAAAGTAAGCCTCCAACCAAGAACGTCTTTCTCTTCTAGGGTTGATGAACCAGAAGCTTTTGGGAACTCTAGGAAGAATAAACCCCTATCCCCAACCGCACAGAATGGCCTTCTCGAAAATTCACTCTCCATTGTCTGGGACAGATTCTTGTTGAAAGGGGGAGAGGGCTGGGGCATGTCTTAAGTGATGGAGTGCCTACTCAGCAAGACTGAGGCCCTGAGTTCAAACCCCAGGACCACCCTTGCTCCCACAAAAAACAAGTTAAAAGATACAAGGGTAAGAAAGCAGGGGAGTCAGGTGCCAGTGGCTCCCGCTTGTAATCCTAGTTTCTCAGGAGGCAGAGATCAAAAGGATAGCAGTTCAAAGCCAGCCCAGGCAAAAAACCTATCTTGAAAAAACCCAACACAAAAAAAAGGGCTGGTGGAGTGGCTCATGGTATAGGTGCTGAGTTCAAATTACAGTGCCCCCAAAAAACTAATCAAAAATACACAGGTGTAATAAAGTAGGGGGAGACTCACTTTCCTAATCAGGCCGGGAGGTGAAGGCCTGGTGGAACCCGTCACCTCCATGGTCCCCCCCTCACATCCCTGTCCCCAAAGTCAGTCACTATACATGAGTAGCCCAACCCTGTCGCTACAGCAGCCAGTGCTACTTGTAGGGACCACATTTAAGGAAATGCTCCTGGCTCCGGTGGGAATTCTGTAGTTGTTTAATGGCCTGGGTACAGAGGCGCACCCAGGTCACCTTTCAGAGCCTTGGTGTGTCTGTGTTGTGAAAGTCAAAGATGGTTGTCACTAAGACCCCAGGAACAAGGGAATGGTCCCTAATGTACCCTCTGACCACGTCCCATTCTTGTGTCACTTCTATTGCATGAAGGTTGACCAGTGAGTGGGTGAGGAGATGAAGGAAGGAAGGAAGGAAAAAATAAGAGCTCCGACCGTGAAGCAATGAAGGCTCACTCTGGATTTGTTGCCAAACTTTCCTCCATCCATTTTGCTCGTATCCGGGCAGGACGTAGCACCAAGGGCCTAACATGAGACCCCCTGGCAGCAGGCAGTTCATGTCAGTTTGGCAACATGGGCTATGGACTTGTTTTCTCCGTGGTGTGACACGTCAGCGGTATGTGTACAGGAAAAACAGCACAGCAGAAGGAAGAGCAAGAGAGATGAAACTGACTACCAGTGTAGCACTTCACTATAGGACATTTCAAATTCATCAGACCGTTGATGAATGACAGACATAACAAAGTAGTAATGGTTTTCCAAGAATTACAGATATGGAGCAGGCACGGGGCATCTGTCCTGGAGACCCTCCTTGGGCAGAACTGCAAGTAGGCGGGTGCAGGACAGGGGCCCCGAGAAGACAGGAGACACAGTGGGGTCTCCTGCAGGCGAGGGGAGAGCTAGGCTAGTTACACACTGCCCGCTCAGCAAAGGGTCCTCAGGTAGCTGTGGACTGAGCTCTCCAGGGCCACCACCTCCTCCATCCTACAAATTCCCACCTGAGGCCAGAGGGCAGCTAAAGAGGAGAACCAAGGGCAGCTGTTACCTGCAGTCCACCTCCTGCCCTGGCCCAGGTACCATCAGTGAAACAGGAAATCGTGGCAAGAAAGCAGTCAAAGCCCACCACGCAATATCTATGATCACACCCATGCTATCACCTGTGTGACAGCAGGTGTGATTACACCTGGCAAATGCCCCAGGCCACTGCCCAGACCGTCCCACACTCAGTCACGTGGTCTTTGACCTCTTCGTTCTGGGGAGCTGCTTCTGCATGGAGAAAAACCCTTCCAGGATTAAAAAGCCTGTTTAAACCCTTTTTCCTGTACTCCAATAAACAGAAAGACATCAGAACCATTCACTTCATCTCCACTTAACTACACACACACACGCACACATGCACGCACACACACACGTGCACGCATGCATGCACACACTCACTTATACACACACACAGTGAGCATGGGGGGAACCGGCCAGCTCCCCCTCACCGTGACACAGAGAAATGCCCCCCCGGAATGAGCCTTTGAGGAGCTCGCTGGCATTTCTGTAACATGAACCGTCACAGCTGGAGTAAAGGAGGGGTACTGCCCGGCCCTTTTCAGAAATACTTTCCGTGGGAAAGGAGGAGGTGTGGGACGAGGAAGAAAAACGTACAAGGAGCCAGGACAGACAACCAAGTCATTCCTTACAGAAGGGTCACAGAAAACTCAGTCAAGGTTGCTGACCTAGAAAACTGAGAACTGGTAAATGCCACAAAATAGAAAAATTATCCCAAACAGAAAACAATAACGCAACCATTTCCTGCCAAGAAACAAGACACCGTGCATCTAAAATCAGTATAAACAACTGTTAGCCTGGAATAACCAGGAGAGTAAGCCCAGACACAAATCCTCAGGCAGATGCGCAAGTGTGGCTGCCTTCAAGACTGTTTTCCTCAGGAGGGACGTTCAGTGGTGCAACAAGGAATGACCTGCAGTCTTCTCTCTCATTTTCAAAGGCCCTGTCTAAGAAACGGTTTTTTTCACCACGTACTTTTTGTTTCTTTTTTTGGCGAGGCAGGAGATGGAACCTAAGCCTGTGTGCGTGCTGGGTAAGCTCTCTACCACTGAGCTACACACCCCCAGCTCACTATGTACTTCTAACTTCACCAAGTGTAGAAACTTCATAGCCTAGAATTTATTTGATGAGAAATACATTATTCATTTATGTAAGTCAATGTATATATTTGAAAGTATGTGATGAAACTGAAAAAAACAGGTTTATCCTAATACCACCAGAGCCTCCACTTTCTGGATTAGGTACAACTGTTTATTTCCTTAAAGTAGCAAAAGAAGCTACCCACACAGCTTGTTTTAAAGGAGTCATAGCCAAGTCTAAAGAATTAAAACAATAAACTGAAGCTCTTCTCCCCAAAATGCAGCTAGAAAATGTGTGAGATCTGCAAATGTGGGTTACGCTATTTTAGCAACACAGAAAAAAGATTCAGATCTTCCATGGAGTGAGCCACTGAAGTGAGAAGATTGTGCCTCTCCTCTCTCCCTCCCTCTTCCCTTCCTCCCTCCCTCCCTCCCTCTCTCTCTCCCTCCCTCCTTCCCTCTTCTCCCTCCTCCCCTGTTTTTACCACGTGGCTCAGGCTGGCCTTGAATTCTCAATCCTTCTGCCTCAGCCTCCCGAGTGCTGGGATGACAGACGTCCACCCAACCCCCAGCTTCGAAATTCATTCATTCTTGAAGCCAGCGCTGAGCCTGACCCAAGGGGACATGCGGCAGCATTGTGCTGGCCAAGGGAACAAATGCACACAGGGAATATGGCACAGAAGCACCTGACTGAGCCAGGCATGGCAGTGCACCCTGCAATCCAACCACTGGAGGCTGAGGCAGAAGGCTCACAAGTTCAAGGCCAGCCTGAGCAATGGAGCAAGACCCTTCTCAAACAAACAGAGAAACGAGCAAAAATTGCCTAATGGGCACCCATACAGTTTTGCATAACAGAGTCCTTATCCAATCATTTTCTTTTCTCATTCTCCCTTTTCCACACTCTGGGGCTGACCAGATAGGGTCTATCACTCTTTCCATACAAAGTCCCCTCCTTCTACTGTCTGCTTCACTCTGGAAGGGGAGCAGTCTATGATACTTCAACCAAGAAAATATGTGACTCCATGACAGTGTCCAGAACCAGGCCCTAAAAGACTGGCAGCCTCCACTTCCTGCCTCTTTCCATGTCCTCCCTGGGAGACCCATACTGCTACATACTAAGTCCCCCTCCGTCCTGGTTATGGAGGCCTTTGTGCATTATCCAGGCCTAGCCCCAGCTAGGCTGAGTCTCCAGCAGTCCTCACTGTGGTGTCACACACCCAACTAAAGCCATCGTGAAGCCTCCAGCCCAGCTCACCCACCAGCTGATGACCACAAAGGGACCTCAGTCAGGGCGAGGCAGCGCAGAAGAGTCACCCAGCTGGGCCCTTTCCAAATTCCTGACCACGAAACCGTGTGAGGTACTGAAATGGCTGTTTCAAGCTACTTTGGCAGGGGGCTGGATAATTTGTTATTTGCGTAACAATGTTAGAGAAAGAACTTGTGCCTTCGCTCTACTTTCTCCTTCCTCTCTTGCAAACACCAGCAGTGCAGGCCACAGGCCACCATGCTAACTAACACAGCAGCCCTCGTGCTCCAAGCGAGGCCCTGAAGACAACAAAGGGGAGACTGATCACGAGGCCCAGGCCTGACCCCGAGGCAAGCGGCTACCTGTGCACCTCAGTCTTGGCACCGAGGGCCACTGGGGCTCTGCAGGAGCCGTGGATGGCCGTACCTGCCTCATGAGCTCCTCCTGGCGTATCCGGATCCTCTCCCTCTCCATCTGGATCCTCTGAAGCCGCAGCTTCTGCTGCTGCTGCTGCTGAGTGGTCAGCGCCATGGGCAGAGTCAGGAGGCCCGCTGGGGCGTTCTGGGCGGGGTGGCTCTGCTGGCTCAGGGTACTGGGTACCATCTGCTGCTGGGGCTGGTGAGTCATCACTACAAGAAGGAAGAACACGGGAGATTAATGGCCATGACTGTGACCTCCAAGACCTTATCAACAAGAACCCATCAGAATGCCGTGTGCTCTGCAGTATGGATTCCTGTCATTCCTTCCCAGTACTTCCAGTTATCATCGCTGTGTAAGTAATTATTACCTTAATTCAAGCCAAGGAGGCACACATACCAGTCCCACTGCTGACTCATCTAGACTTGAACACCATTCAAAACCTCACTTCACACCTTCCCCGAGTGGAGAGCCCACTTTAAGCCTTCTGTACAACACAGAGTGGCAAAAGTCAATCTCACAAAGTTGTTGCAGGTGTGCAAGGTTTGTCCCCAGGACACTTGGGGGTTCTGCCCTCTCTCAGACAGTCCATGGAGCTGAGGAGGGCATGGGGCCGTCAGGACACCGTGAAGCACAAGCATATCAAGAGGGAGGAGCAGAAACACGTAAAATGCAGACCTTGAGCAGAAACCCAGAAACTCACACGTAAGCAGGAGCTCGTGCCCACCCAGGTTGGGGGTGTGGCTCCATGACAGAGCACTTGCCATGCCCTGGGTTCCATCCCCAGTAACACAAATAACTAACTTCAGGAAAAAATTACAAATAAACAGAAGCCCTTTAATACTTTGTTTAAAAGGGGCACTCCCAAAGGGGCCTGAGCTAGACTCAGGAACAAATGCCTGAGTTGGTTTGAACTCAGGGCCTGGTGCTTGCTAGGCAGGCACTCTGCCACTTGAGCCACCCCACCCCCCAGCCCTTTTTGCATTAGGAAAAATCATCTTTTTTGCTGGGCTGGTCTAGATGAAGATTCTTTTACTTACACCTTCTGTGTAGCTGGGATTACAGGCATACAAAATGGGGTCTCTGTATTGCCCAGGCTGGCCTCAAAACACGATCCTCCTAATCTCTGCCTCCCAAGTAGCTGGGTCTATAGGTTTGAGCGACCATACTTGGCCATGCTGAATATTTTCAACATCAGAAATCTCTGGGTTACAAAACAGAGATTTGAGAAGCACTGGCTGTTAATTTTGTGTCAATTTTTTTTTTAAATAAATCAGAAGCTCTGAAAAATTTTAAGAACTGACCTGGGTCTGGTAAGTTACTAACATGACAAATTTTGAGCAGGGCTGTCTCTCTGGTCGACTTTGCAGAGTGTCCACGCAAAGTGCCAGGCTGGGTTTACTAACAAGCCATGTGCTACGTTACTCAGCTCGGCACAGCAGCCAGAAGTTCTCTGTAGGTTTTATTGCTGTCTGATTTCTTATCTGGGGGAGTTTAAGGCAGAGCTCTTCCCAAGCCACACCCTGGCCAGTCTTGAAAACACCAGGCCTTATGGAGCCATTCATGGGCATAGCAGGTGCTTCTCCCACCTCGTTCAGCCTTGACCAGTCAAGCTAAGCAGAGTCTGGAAAAAGACTGGAACTTACACAATGGCCGTATTTTCAAATTCAAGCTCACACCCCAGAGTGTACTCACCACAGGAGGTGAGAATATTCACATCGCCTGTAACAGAAAAGGGCAACAGGTGGTCTCGGTGACCATCCGGGAGAGAGCATGGTCTGTCCACTCAGGGACCCTCTATGTAACTCTAAAGACTGAGAGAATTCTTCGGTACTTCTATGATGATTCCTAAGAAACACTGATCAAAGGGTCAAACCCCATGGGACAGAAGCGGTGCCCCGTCTGAGGGAGGAAAAGCAGAGGCGCGGTACAGACCCACACCAACTCTCTCTAAAGGACCCACCTGACACATAACGGTGGCATCTCTGCAGAGGAACCTGACATCAGGGATGACAGAAGTTCCTGTGTCCTGTCTGCACTGTTTGAAGTACATGTGCTTTGTACTTTTGCAAGACAAAGGTGAAAATAAAAGGAAGTGAAAAACACTACAAAGCCAACCACACAACAGGCCAAACATCCATGCTGGAGACATCAAGTGCCGGTCTTTCTTGGTGTCCTGGGACACGGTGCCCTCAGCTTATCAAAGAACACCCTGAGAACAGGGTGAGGTGATCACCAGACCCGCTCTGAGCAAACCCTGCGACAGACGAGGACAAACCCAGAGCAAGAAGAACTTGCTGGGGGAACCCGAGAGTGCCCTAGCAGCCAGGTGCCCGTGCAGCCGACGCCTCGCTGAGCCTGGGCCTGGAGCGCGCGGTCTGCACAGGTGGCACAAGAGGCCAAGAAAACAGGGGAGGCCAGACGTGTAAACACTTCTTGGATAATATTCCAGAACATTTCAGGGAGAAATCAACAGTGCCATTAAAAGAAGAAGGGGGTGGGGGGAGGAGAAAAAGAACCCAAATACAGTATCCGAGGCCAGTCGGATTCAGGGCAGACTGCCATGAACCGCCCCAGAAAGGCTAAACCTGGTCAGTTCTAGGCCTTGCTGTCCTCATGGGAAGGAACAACCCAGGCAAGACCTCCACGGATACAGGAACGCATCAAACCAAAGTGTCCCTGCTCACCCCCTTCCAAGAACATCGGAATTCAAACTTAGATCTCAGCTACCTGTCCTTTTCTTCTCCTTCTCCTTCCCTGCTTTTTCCCTTTCCCGCCCTTCTTTCCCTCCCTCCTTTCTCCTCCCTTACTTCCTCCGTACCTCCCTCTTCCCCTCCTTCCTTCCTTCCTTTTCCTCTCTCCCTCCTTTTCTCCTCCCTCCCTCTTTTTTTCTTTTGGAGGCTGGCTTTCTTGTCTGTGTTTAGAAATTAGTAAAACAATGCTCTTGAAGAAAACACGGGTAAAAACAAGTTCCATGATGACATGTGACATGCAGAGACCTCTACTTCAACACTGTGCTCTGACGTAAGAACCAGCTGGGCTGGGTTGTCCAGGACACAGGCAGCCTAGAGTGACTTTCAGCTCTGACATCGCTTCCCTTTGTTCCTTGCTGCATGGGTAACGGAGTTTCCCGTGTGGCTCACTGTGGTTCCTTAGTTTAATAAAAATGTAACACCCTCGGCAGGTCCCAGGCCACTGTGGCCTCTGTCCCATTCTGGTAAACACAGCTGGTCACTTCTACAACGCCTCAGAGGTCACAGGAGCTGCAGGCCAGCAGGCCCCAGGCCCCAGTCCCAGGCCAGCACATTGTCTGGTACATAAGAAGCAAGCGAGGAAAGGTAAAGGGCTTTCCCTGACCTCTGGCCCCTGCACACAGGACAGAGTGACAGCTCACAGGAAGGACCATGGCAGCTTCCTCCGCCAGGCACTGCAGACACGCAGGGTGGCCGGTGAGTCAGGCCTGCCTCGCCTCCAGGAATGTCTGACAAATGTCTTTGTCCTCAGAGAGCTTCGGTGGCTTGCTTCCCTCGTTTTAAAATAGGTTTGGGCTACACACGCACGCGCGCACACGCGCACACACATGTCACCTGGAGGAAACACAACCATAACGTCAGGCTTAACTACAAAGCCCGCACGGCCGCCTGGGGCTGGCTCTTGGAGGACTGTGGGAAGGAGCTGGCCGAAAGTCATAGCTCCGCACTGGGAGACGCAGAGATGACCTGGCCATCACTCAACGCCATGTGAGTCTGGGAGGACAGAGAAGGGAGGACAGAGGCAGCTGCTGGGCCTCCTCACACGGTCAGCTTCGCTCCTCGATGACAAACTTCTCAGCGGAGCAAACTCCACTGCTGGCCCTGTGAGGACCGCCTTTCAGACGTGGGCTCGGGTCGCCTGTCCGAGACACGAGGCCGCCCCAAGCCTCTGACACTCAGCCCTGAACCCCTCCCTTCTGAGCTTCTGCTCTATCAGAAAGGCAAACTTCCACATGTAAAAACAACGTCCACGCTGATCAAAACAAGTGAGTAAGTGGGAGGAAAAGGGGCGAATTCCCGGCAATTCACGTGGAGAGCAACTGAGCGGTGACCTCACTCCGAAGAACATGGAATAGGCAGGAACGTAACTTCACTGTGAAGTCTGAAGGACACCACCTCGGAGGTGACCAAGGTCAACACCAAGAGACAGGATGTGGTGACAGTGTGCATCCTGGGCAAGCTGGGGGGACAGGGTGCACCTCTGGGGTGATGGGTGACACAAAAGTTGGGATGAGAATGCCTGATTTTTTAACTTCTGTAAGCTTTCTCCCAAACCCCACAACCCAGCGTAGTCAGGAGAAAACGCACCAAATTCCAATACAGGTGGGCCGCACTTTATCTCACCTGTTCTCCCGAATTTTATGCAAACCCAACTGTTTTATTCGTAGTTTTCGCGAGTCTTTAACAATTTTTCAAGTTTCGGTTTGTAGCTTCCATTTGTGAGGGAACGAGTATCGGAAGTAATACTAAAACAATAGGAAAATCGACGCCCGAGGAAAGCTTACTGCTCTTAATCCCGGAATAAGCTTATGTTTTAGTGCAAGGTTTGATGAATGACTTCAGCGGCGTAATACTGCAAACGTTTTCCAACCCTCTCGTGACCTAATTCACGAATATTCACAAAGGTACTGTAATTCTGCTTTGCTGGTTAAAGAAAAGCTGTTTCAGAGGAAAAGAAATAACTTGGTGGCTGCTTAGAATTCACATCAGGAGGAGGGAAAACAGCCGTCAGTAGACGGTGAACAAATAATCTGCAGGATACAACGTGACAGAACACAGCAAAGAGAACAAGAAGCCAGCCTGGGTGCGCCTGCCTATATCCCGTCACAGAGAGGCTGAGGCAGGAGGACGCTGTGAGCCCAGGAGTTTGAGGCCAGCCCGGGCAATGCAGCGAGAGCCCGTCTCTGAAGATCAGCAGCCATAACGACAAAAGGAAAGCAAGGATTATAAAAGGCTGCGGGCTCTGCTGGCTTTCTCCACGCAAACGGCGAACGAACGGGAGCGCGTCCCAGGCGGTCGCACCTGTGCCGGTTTGCGCAGGTGGTGAGCAGAGCCTTTATAGCCTTTATACTCAAAATCATGTTTTAAAAAAAGAAAAAACCTCGCTCCTACAATAAAACAACACGAACTATCCCGAGTCACCCTTCCACGTCAGCCCCTGTGCGTGGGATGGGGAGACC